ATCTTATATTGTTATGGTATGGCAAAAGGTATACTGTCCTTTTTATTTTAATGCTTGTTTAAGAGCAGTCCTCGATCCTTTGCTCGTGGTTGTTTTGAGGTGCATTTGGTAAAAGCTTAAAAAAAAGGCTGCCATGCACTGAGCTGTTATGCATAAATGAGGTAACAGAAAGACTTTCACTGCTTACATTTGGGGATCCCTTTCTTAAAGAAAAAGCCTCTGGCTCTGCTTACCCATAACTCTGGATTTGCTGTACAGCTGTCTTTAACCCTACTGAAGACCTTGATGGGCAGACAAAATTGACTTTGTCTCTGCTGCAAGTGTGAGGCTCTGATTATCCATTTCTGTAGATCTGTCCTTCTGGCCCACTCAGTGTCTGTGGGCTAATCTTCTGGATTTCTGGAGAGAAACAAGTATTAGGAAGAAGGAATTTAAGTTGAACTTCTTCAAGGTGTGTGAGCATGACTTGGAAGATGGCAAAGGTATGCTTATTTATTGGTATGCAAATATCTATGTTATTAGCTACAGAGAAGCTGTAAGGGGGAGAAACTGAATAAACAGGAAATGGAGCATGCTGATTTGGGTGGTCTGGTAGACCAATGCTCAGTCACTTCTGTAATATCTTTACCATGAAGCAGAGAGTCTGAAAGCCTGAATTGGGTCTTACAGTCTGGCACATTGATTGAGGGAATGGGGAAAGACTGAGGAGGGGATTTTTATAGGAGCTGTAAGGGTAACATAGAAGAGAAACTGTGAAAGCCAGAATCAGAAGGTGATAAATGGATGAAGCCCTCTGGAGAACATGTATTAGCGTAGATTGGAAAGGAAATTTGGAACTGCTCTTGCCAGAGGAGGGATGTGGTGGCTTTTACCAAAGCTGGGACACTTGTGGAAGGACTACAAAGATGTAAGGGGCATGGAAGCCAGAAAAGAAAGAAGAATGTCCCTGCTTCAGCTTCTGTAGGTGTGAGGAATACTTACAAAGCACTTCCACTGCAGGACCAGTCCTGGCCCAGATGCAGTGTGTGTTCTACCTTGGGCAGATCCTGCAGTGCTTCTCCCAAGCCAGCTCTTCCTTTCTTCAGGGATTCTGTGTAGCCTTCCCCTTCCCCTTCCCCTTCCCCTTCCCCTTCCCCTCCCTTGGCTTTCTTCTTGGCCAGGTTCTGTCCTCCCTGACATTTACTGGACTGATTTTTGTGCCCTAATCTGAGGGGCCACTGAATGAAGGAGGGTATTTACAGTGAGCTTTAGTGTACTTTGACTGCCTGGCTTGAAATTGGCACCTGTACAGGGCTGACTGCAGGGGAAGGTGGGCTGAAGGAACCTGTGTTGTGCTTTGTGAGGACATGTGATCTGCTAGGTCAGGGGAATGATATAAAAAGTATTTTAAATGTCAATGAGGAGCAAAATTCTTTAGGCTTTTAATCTTAGTGAGTTTTCACTTGATTTAGTCAAACCCTTCCCAGATGCTAGTCACCAATGAGACTTCACTCTGGAAACTTGAAGACTTGAGGGTCTGGCTGATTCACAGGGGGGATCACTATCAGCCTAATGGGACCTTGGTTGGAACTTTAATTACAAGAAGACAGCAAAAAGCAGTGTTTAAGAAAAAAAAAAAAATCCCCTTATCAACTTTTGTTGCTAGTCTAGTCAGGCTAAAAATTCTGCTTAATCTTAATGATTAGTAAGAGTTCTTCATTTCTGTTAAATAAATTACGAATTATTCGGAGGCAGTATATTAAAGGAGATCTAATCAAGATATCCAGAATATTGTGACATATTTAAATCCCATAATATTTAAAAAAACATTTTTGAGGGAGTCAAGATACTTTATATACAATTAGAGGCAGCATGATTAATAACCTTGGGCTTAGATTCTCCTGCTTCCTTTGGGATTTGGTTTTTTTTTTCTGCATCTCTGGAACCAAATATATGCCTTAATTACCAATCAAACAGTCAATGAAGGCAGAACTGAAGTGTGGAAGTATCTTCTTGGATTTGTATTAGCATTTCTTCCACAGCACAGATTTGGATTAGTGAGGCTGAGTGTATCTGCAGGTTTTGGTTGCTGTCAGGGAAAATGTGAATCCACACTGACTTAGATTTTCAAAACTAGCAGACTTGTTTGTTTTGCACCATTTGACATTTATGCCACGTGCTAAACCTGCAAAAGGTAGGTGTTAGTGCAGGTAGTGTTAAATGCAGAAGCATTTAAAAGTTCTGAGAAGATTCAGGCCATTTAAAACCAGACAGTGTAGTTTCTCCCCAGCCCCATCTCTCTTTATAGAGGTTTCAAGAGGAAAAGGAGATTTTTGATATGTGAGAAACAAACCCATTTGATGTGAAACCATTCTGCAAGGCTACAACATAAAATCTGAACTGAAGGCAAGAAAAGAGGAGCCAGACACTTTTGAGGTTTGGACCCTCCCAGGTTGGTGCAAAGTCAGTGAGTGGAGATTGCTCCTTTAACAGCTGTGTCAGAACTTCCTTTTACTGCAGAAACAGGCAAGTCAATGCCTTCCAATCCAGTGGGATTGGGAAGCTCAGGATTTTGGAAGGTGTTACCACAGCGTACTTTGCTTGTCAGGTATAGCTTCAAGGAAAGAGGTTTCTGAGCTGAAGGTGGAGAGTGGGAAAATGTGTTTGAAGCCAGTCTTTATTGTAATTCTGGGTATCACTTACTTCTCATCTTTTACAATGGTGAATTGTGGGGGAGAAGTAGCTCCTTGTAACAGGGGAGGCAAGGGATAAATCACCTATCAACCCTTTTATCTTCTGAATTTTTCTAAAATTGATTTTATTTCTGCACATATTCATTCTGGAGTGTTCATAAGCTGTATGTTTTGGTCAAGTATGGCAGGCTTAGCTTTTTATTCTGAACTGTCAATTTTGAAACTCACTATGAAAGAGCTCCAAGGTAAAATGGTTTTGATCATTACCAGCTGCTGTGTGCTTTGTAGACTGTAATATAAACCTGACATTCAATTTTAGTGGGATGATCTAATCAAGTTCTGAGATTTATTTTAGATAATAAAAATGAACCCCCTTTTTTCAAGGATAAACATGGATAAATTGTCAGATTCATAGCCCATCTCATATTATGTCTGCTGTGTTTTCCACAGTGCCTGAAATGGTCACTGTATGCCTGATTTATAAAGACAGTATCACCTTGATGAGTACACAGTGTGTCACTTGAGCAGGATTCATGTCTTTATGGATTTCAGTGGAGAAATATAAAGTGAGACAATATAAATATTGCAGCTGCTTGCTCTATCACATTGCCTGTTTTCTTGGGCAGGTTACCTGTGCGTTTTTTTTTGTGGTGGTGTTGTTGTTGCTTTTTTTGTTTGTTTGTTTGTTTGTTTGGTTTTTTGTGGGTTTTTTTCCCCCCTGTATTAATAAGAAAGCAATATTTCGGTAACATTGGTGAGGAAAACTCCTTTCAATTATATTTTGCAATAGGTGAATTAAATGAATTTGAGATCACTAAATAAAATGTAGTGTAAAACACTAAATATTATACCACTCCTGCCTTTTCCTCCTCACCAGAGATGGGGAAGATAAATGCAGCAATTCTAGATGGGACCCAAACCAGTCATATAAGAGGGAAATCACAGGCCAAAGCTCCCAGTGACCTAAGTGTTAGCACACCTGGCTGCTGCTAGGTGTAGGAGCATTGTTGTGAATGAATGCTGTGGAAACAAGTCACCTGTGTGACATTTTACAGAACAGACAGCTAAAACTGTCCTGTGGGCTTCACTGAGGGATCTCTCTGTGGGCTGGCGACACCTCCACATGGCTTCTCTGTGCCTCCATCATGGAAGGGTTATACTGACTGGATGCACACTGGAAACAAAGATAAAAGAATGTTTCTCGTGGTCATAATGTATGTTAGTCTGTATCTATGAATTTGAAGGTGAACTGCAGCCTGGAGCTCTCCTTTCTTGAGAAAGAAGCCACCTCCACTGGTGTTTAATGGGTTGGGACAAGCTCTCAGTGCAGTCGCCTTGGGCCACTGCTGCTGCTCTCTCTGCCTGAACGTAATCTTAACACCTTCTGCAGCTCGTGACATGCTTGTGTTTGGATATGTTGAGAGGAAATTTCCCATATTAAGTGAAAATAAGTCTGGACAGAATTCCCAGGTTGGAGAATAACTGTGGAAAAGTTGGGTTGTTGTCACAGGTGTAGCCTCCTTCATTTTTCCTAACTTGACAGTGTCATTTTAAGGTCCATGAAAAAAAGAGGACACTATTAGATATGATCACCCATAGAGATCACATAAAGCTGAATGTGAAACATAGGGCCAGCACAGCTCTAATTGTTGAATTTAAACAGAATTTGAGTCTCATGCAAAGTAGGTACATAATGGAAAACTTGACCTCTGCTGCAATTCTGATAAACGTGTCTTCAGTTAAAAAAATAAAAAAATGTTGGTGGCAAAAAGGGCAACACATGGCAGAATTTGAACAAGCTTACGTGTCTAATTGTCTAAAAGTCACTGTGGCACAAACTGCCTGGAAAATTACTCTTGAAAGATTTATCCACATAGAAGGTGTTATGCACATATGCTCCTTACCAGGTGCAAGTTAGTTGTGCACTAACATGTGTGTATGCATAGGACTTCCCAAAGTGTCATTTTAAACAAATATTTGGAGTTCTCCCTTAAACCAGACCAGAAAATATTTTTACAAGTTTGAATGTTTCTCTTAGACTTCTGGTAAAGCAATCATTCTTATTCTCTAGCATGAGTCACAAGTCACAGTGTCAATTGCTTTATAAAATATTACTGAAATAGTTTGATGGCAGTGAGCAAGGCTTAGTCATGTCTGTCCTCCTCTCCTGTGTCACTTCTGGGCTGCCTTGCCCTTACTGCTCAAGTGATGCACTGTGGATAATGCCTCAACATATTCCCAGGATTAAATTGAATGTGGAAGGGGTGAGTGCCTGCCATTCTCAAAACTCAAATCCTTGGTGAATCTTTACTGCATGTTTAATTCTAGGCACCTCTGTTTGAATGGATGGTTCTGAGAAACTTTGGCCAAAGTGACTTACCACTGGTAAGTATCAGCTGTCACTAGTGTAGCTAATGAGAAAAGGTGTCCTGTTCTTGACTCTGGTGCATTTTTTACAGCAGTATCATACTGGAAGACATTAGAGATGCTTGTTTACAGACTTGCCTGTGAGGTTTCAGAGAGAGAAGCTGAGAAAATTGCTGGTCCTTCTTAAGTAGCTGTTGTCTTTGGACAAAGATTACATGCATCTTGCCATATGAAGCTTGGGACACTTCCCAAGTCATTATTCAGGAGCGTGCAGGTGCATGCTGAGGCTTTGAAATCCCCACACATAACAATGCCAACCTGACAATCATCCCTTGAAGCAGTATCAGCTCAAACAGTCTGTGCTCAGCCTTGCCTCTCATCTTGTGCTCTGAAAACAAACTGGTGCTGCATGCAGATGTGTTCCAGAGTCAGTGAAATGGAAATGGTGAGGCTGGGATTTATCCAATGTCTTCCAAATCTGCCCAGCTACCTCTGTGATTTCTTGTTGAGAAAAGAACATCTCAATGTCAGCAACTTATATCAAGAAAGCAACCATGGTTAAGAGAAATAACATCACAAAAGAAAGTTCCCTTTTTATCTATTCATTCCTGGTAATATGGTACCAGTTGAGTTGGCCTGACAAATTAATTTGTACAAAGACACTAAAACCAACTATGTAAAAACCAACACAGATGTTTTATATACATTGAACTAATTTTCTAATTAATTTTTGGACATTATATCTCCGTCCATGCATTTGCAAGTTTGTAGGTGCCTGAGTATGTATAATGCTATTGGCATAGGGTTTTCTCCTAGGTACTTTATCTGGGTGTACATAATCAGATAATTGTACATGGATTTGTCACAGGTGTGCTCTTGCTGTCAGTGATGGTGTTGCCCAAACAGGAAAAGTAGTGTAAAGAAATGGGATTCAGTTCAAGTACAGCGCAGTGCATGCAGTCCATGTGTGCAACTCTCCCTTACTCTGTGTATCCCTCTCTCTCAAAAAAGCTACTCTGATCATCCAAAGAGTGGATTTTCTCAGTAAGTTGCTCAAATGAGACAGGGGAGAAAGGGAATCACCAGGATTCAGTACCTACAATTAAAAAACTTTAAAAACTCTTTACTTCAATCATTATATAAGATGAGATGTAAACCAACAAACCGAATTGCAGAATCAGTTATTAAGTTGGAAAATATCTCTGAGATCATTGAGTCCAAATTGTGGCAAAAAAAGAGTGAACTCCTGTCCTCAGTTCATATTCTCTTTTGACATTGTGCAGTCTGATGTGCTCAAACATCAGTGATTGTTATGCAAGAAAGCACTGGAACCCCATCATGGAAATTCTGAAAAGTTATGGACATAAGGAGTTAAGAAAACTCATTTTAATATCTTGATTCCTTTATTTTTGGAGGCATAAACCCCCATAAACTGGCCCTTCTGGTATGAGGTCAGCCGTGGTAGGTACATATGGTAGTGGGGGGATTTAAAGGATAAAGACCCCAGCAATCACCATCGCTCAGTTTGTGCACGTCGCAAGGATGACTTTTTTGGGTACACAAAGGTCTCAAGAACATGACTTTGCTAGATCTCAATGAATTTCACTTACAGAGCACCCCAATATCAAATTCTTAAATTATCCCCTAAGTAAAATATTATTGCTGTCTTCAGTTTCAGACTCTGCAAAAGCAGATAATAAAGTGGACACTTAGTTTCCACAATTTGTTTTTGTGTCTGTGTTAATCTCTTTTGCTGCTATAGGCTTTAGACCACTTTGAGGAGTATGGGGGGAGATTCTGTTCTGTTGTTTCTGTACCTTCACAGCTCACCTTCTGTGACTGCTCTGGCTGGGCCCTTACCTCTGAAGTTAAAAACCAATTGGATTGACAAAATTATTTAGTCTAATATTTAGCTTGGCTGACCTCTGAGCTAGACTGTTTGTTTGAAAATTGGATTTTTTTTGTACAGTCGATGATTTCCACTTTCCATTAAAAAATGAAATATTTCTCTATGAGGAGAAGGATAAAATATGGGAATCAATTCAGAATGAACACCTCTGAAAAAATTAAATTGCATGGAAATGAAAATACCAAGAGTTTATATGTGGGGAAACAAAAGACAAGACAATCCAAAGGGAAATAAGCGATCTGAAAACTTACTACAATCTTGTCAAAATTATTGCTTTTTACTTAAAAATTTTGCTTGACATGAAAATATTAGTTTACTTGTCTGCTGCCTTGGATTTTTTTGTTCAAGATATTGCTTTTCTTCTGGCTTTAAAAGGCATCTTTACAAACATTCCTTTAAAACCACTTGTTACCTTGTTTACACTACTCAGCAGGGACTAAGAGCTGAAAGTAACAAAGCCAAATTAATGCAACTGCCTAGTATTAATTACCTGTGAGTATTAGAAGGGTGCTTCTGTCTTCCTTGAGAAACTATAAACCAGATACTGCTGTGCTATATACAGCTTGTTATAAACATGCAAATCATTGATCAGTTTTTGTTTAAAAAGTACTTGTTATCCCAGACAAAATAAAACCTGTCAAAGTCTTCACCTTCATTTGTCATTAAAAATGTAACTTTTCTGTTGTTACCTTTTACTGTAAATTAATTAAGGTAGATATGGAGGGGACAGTGGTAGGTAAAGTACAGGTTTGATACAATCAGAAGTGCAATTTTGCACTGGTGTTGCTGGGTTTTTTCACTCATACAGTGAGCACTTGCTGATCTGGGAATGTGCCAAGCCTTTCAGATGTAAATGTGACTGTATGAATTTATGTGGGTGTGTACATTAAGCTGAAAAGGAACTGGGAGGAGGCAGGAGGAAGAAGGAGAGTCAGGTTTTTGATGTGAATCCAGCTGAAGGGTTAAGCCCCCCAGTCTTGCCCGTAGAGCCCTCTAAACTAGCAGAGGTGTGAATAAAAATGATGCCCAGCTTTGTTCTGGTAGCCTCACAGAGCTGAGCCATGACTCTGCCTGTTCCCTTTGCTGCAGCAAGATGAGTTGAGATTCTTCTGGGATTCTTTTCCCAGTGGAAGCTCACCTGCTGAGCAGAAGGAGCTCAGCACTCCAAGCTCTGGTACCCTACTGGCAGGGTCAGACCCTGAAAAACCCAGGAGTGCTGCAATATCCAACATGTCCTCTCCTGGTGTTGGTGACTGTAGTACAGACCACTGGTTGCATCAATCAGAGCACCATCACCTCTCAGAGCACTAAATATCATTAAATGCTCAGGGTGGCTTCACTTAAAGTCCTAGTGATGGTCTTGGCTATGACTCCTCACACCCCAATCCACCCTCCAAGGACTCCCACCACTATCAGAATCTGCTCCAGCTGCACTAGGAAGTGATCCCTTGCCTTGTTTTCCCCTGGATGCTCCTGTCTGTGACCTGTTGCTGAGGCTGTAGGCTGGGCACTCTGAGATAACAGACCCCAGCCTGCTACTGCTGATCCCAGCTGGACCAGCAGAAACATTGCTTTGAAAATAAAGGCTGTTCTTCGGTCATGTGAACAGACCAACAAACCTTTGAGTGGGTGGAAAACTGAGATGGGTGGGGGGCTGCTGCAGCAGAAAGGCAGTGATTGAAAGGCAGGAGCATGGGCAGGCCGGGAAGGGTAACTGGTTTCATGGAACAGTGAAAGTTCCACATTACTTTTCTAATGCAACCAATTTTTCTCTGAACAAAAATGGAAAATGTGATGTCAGCCGTGATGTGTAAAGTATTTGTCAGTGAAGCTTTTACTACAAGGTCTTTTGAAACAATTTTTTCCCTATTAAAATTTTTAAAACCCAAAAGATATACTGAGTGTTTCTGGGGAAACTCTAATGCCGGTTCTTGTGATGCATGAAACTATTCATACAAGGATCTGAACCTGGAAACAGATTAGAACAAGCATTGTTCCTCAGGTGTGGTGGAATGTGGCTGTGAAACACAAACTCTAGAAGTCACTGGGGAGTCCACGTTTGGCACTGTGATGGAGTTTGATCCTTGCTCCAGTATGGCCAGCTTAAATATCATGTCAAGTGGATAAATGGCTTGTTAAAAAGGGTTCTGTATACAGAATTTGAGTGACAAATTACAGAGCTGAAACTGGCTCAGTTGGTGCTGATAATGCCAAGGGTGGGGTTTGATTCCTGTATGAGCCATTCACTTGAGAGTTTGGCTTAAGAATTCTTGTGGGTCACTTCCAAATCAGAATATTCTGTGATGAGAGACTGTAACTAGTGGAATGTCAAGTATTTTATTCTGACAAGACACTCTGTCCTCTCAAGCACAGAAATTGAACTAAAACACCTGGAATATTTTTTGCATGTTAAGTCAGATATAATTGTTACTAAAATAAGCAAGTGCAAATTGTTTGCAGCAATGAAAAGAACTACCCTGTTGGGCAGGAAATGGCATTTATTCTTGCTTGTTATTATGATGGAAAGATTTGATATTCCTGGTGACTATGAAGATTAAACCAGAGATTTATGTTAATGCAAAGGATTAAAAGAATTTTAATAACACTTATAAAGATGCAAATGTTCGCCTGCATTTTATCTTTTTGCAGATGAATGTGCCATAAGGGAAATATTGAAGGGGGAGAACACATCCTCGCTCTGAATTGCAACATCTGGTTTAATACTGCTCTCACATGGTCATTAGGTATTAGTTGTTTTCACCAGTGTGTTTATGAACATTGTAAGTTTGATCAGACTTTTTCTCCCTGACTAACTTAAGAATATCAGAAAACAGCAATCAACATCCACATTCAAACACGTGGGGCCTGTGAATGGCTTCATGCCTTGCACATTTCAACAAACTATAAATATTGCTCAGTGTATGTTCCTTCTTGCTACTCCATCACTTGAAGATTTATTTTCTGAACAGTAAAGAGCTTGAAATACTGTCTGCGCTTTAGAATTGCCAGCTGTGCTCCCCTCATTTCAAACACACTGTCCCCCAAGTGCAAACACAGGCCACACCAGCCTGGAAAATTCTGTGCTTTATTTGGGGCCCCTGACATATTATACATATATCTACATACATTTCATATGGAGAAATTATAGAAAAAAATAAGATTTGAAAAAGGAGGCAATTAAGGTGAAGGTGTAAACATCTGTCTATATTCCGGTTTGCATTTTTCCCTGCTCTTCAACCAATTGTTTGCTAACAGGTAAGTATACATAAACAGATGCCACCTGGATTTGTCACACAATTCAACTGATGTGACTGTGGAAATATCCAGGCCCTCAAATCAATATAAATCTTCAAAAGGTTTTGAGTAGTTGAACATCAAGTAATCCATATAGTAAAAGTCATAGCTTTGTTGTCGTTGAGAAGGAGAAAGCTGTGCAAAATACTGCTGTGTAATTTTAGTGGTAGTTCTTTCTTCATTAGAGTGACGATCTTTAAACTTGGGGAAAGTTAAATTTTGTGGAGCACCAATTAAGTGCAAGAAAAAGTTTGCATCTTCTTCCATACTTTCAAATTTCCCAACGAAGTCATAGTCTATTAAACACGGGCTGCAAAGCCTGTTGACGTGATCCCAGTGTATATCCATACCCACTGGCCTGTGTACATCCAGCAGATATTGAATGAACTCTTTAAACTTGACTCCAGAGCCTGTCCTTAGTGCTTCTTTGGTGGCATTGACACGGTATCTGGAAATGATGGCTTTCCCAAAGACCGGGTGGTAGTAGTTGTTTGGATGTTCAAACTTGTCCCGAAAGGCAGACACCAGCTTTTCAAAGGGCTCACGAATAAACAGCATTTTTGTGTAAGTGCTGAGCCTGTGGTAAATGCCCTTGTGGTCAAAGCCATCCAGGCGTTTCAGGTAGTTTCCGTAGTGCACGGTGTTGTGCTGGATGTCCTTTGTGGAGGAGGCCAGCCCGTTCAGCACCATGAGCACCCGCTTCCAGTTAGAGCAGCCGGCTTTGGGCACTTCACAGTACAAAACTCTGTATTTATCCTCTACAAATATTCTAGACACATGATAAGGAGTGATTATTCTTCTGTTATTACTCTTGTATTTTGAACAAGTTTCCCTCATAATCCGCTTCCTTTCTCCTTGGATCTGATAGAGACTTTTCCACTTGCTGTTGTTTCTATCCTCATATTTAAGTGTGGGCAGGTTGAGAATGGAGCTGTTCATGGAAATCAGAATTGGGCTCTTTTTAATTATAAACCTCCTCCTGCGTTTATGGAGCTTGATGGAATTAATTTCTTCACCTTTCTGTTGATCTTTCATAGCAAACATGATGTTGCTTTGCCTTCTGTCGGTGCTTTGAAGCTTGGTGGGCACACTTTCAGATGGCTCTAATGAATTGCTCTGCTTAACTGTTGCTGCTCTGTCTGCAGTATTTTTTCTTAATCTTCTATCCTGGTTATTGCTGGAAACACAGTCCTGCTGAGGAAAAACAGATTAAAGATATCAGTAAATGGGAGATTGTTACTGCTTACAGCTTGCACCACTTGGTAACTTTTAGAACTGTACAACAAAATGTGTTGTCACAAACTCTCAGCACTGCACTGTGGTATGGGCTCTTCTCTTGTCCCCTTGTTCTGTGCTTACGTGAAACTCAAAGGCAGAGATGAACCTGATCTAAATTTCCAGTAAATTCTAGTTCCTGTTTGGGTTTACCTGCATTACTCTATTTTAGGTGGTGTACCCAGACCTTGACAGATACTTTTGTCTTAGATGTCGTTGAAATTTCTACAAAATGGTATCTGAATATTTTGAGGACTTGCTTACTTATTCCAGACTACCCCTGTTGCCACGCAAACGGATGGGTTTGTTTGTTTGTTTGTTTGTTTGGATTGTGTGTTTCCCACCACCACCCCCACATCAGTAATTTATCTTTGCAGTGAGGGCAGATTGGCACAGAGTGAAGCCCAACAGGGAAGGGAGGGGGGTTTGTAGAGTTTGCAAGATGCAGTAAGATGTGAGTGTGGGCAGCGGGAAACAGGAAGGATGTCAGTGAGAATGCAGACAAGAAGTGGCTTTGGTGAGGACAGCATGAAGGGAGGCTGGAGTGAGGTGAGCCTGGGGGCAGAGCAATGGAGACCATGAGAAGCAGTGAGAGGTAGGAATGAAGCTGTGCCTGGGATTAGGTCAGCAAAAACTAAGTGGAGCAGGTCTATGGGTGAGGCTTTCTGGGACTTGCTCTTTTCCATTGGGGGATTTCTCTGTTAATATCTCCTGCACACAGCCCAGGTGTGCTCCATTACTTCCTGCTTTTCAAAGTAGCTGAATTAAAACTTTTCTATGCCTCTAAGATTCAAATTATGTTCTGCTCACTGTTTAGGTATGTGTCATCCCCATTTCAAGGTCACCTGGATCAGAGTAGCATATGAGCTACCATGGAGTATTTCAACAGAGGAGCATATGTAGTTGCAGAATGTTTATTGCTGACCCAAAATACTTAGTTAGAGGGCTTACAATTTTAGATTTAATTTTTTGATTTTCAGTGTTTCCCCAATAGTATTTAAAACTGGCTTAAAAATAAGATACTGGTTGAATTTTAAGGTGTACAATTGGGGATTAGAAGGGTCATGCTCTTTCAGGGTGCTCTTTAAGATTAGATCTTAATCAATTTTACAAGTCTTTGTTGTCTGAAAAAAAAGCAATGCAATAGGTGACAAACTTGTTCTGTCATGGAGGTTTTATCTTGTCACATTCTTGTTAAAGGTCAGAGAATAAAAAAGTCTCAGAAAAGAAATTCAGGATTCATTGTAAAAAACATTGGTGACAAAAACCCAAAAAAATCAAATTGTATTTTGTAGGTGACTTGCTTATATTGATAATTACCATACAAAACTTGAACACAACAGATCAGTATTAAACACAAGTTTTAGGGCAGTTGCAGAATTCAGGTTGGATGCTCTGGTAGCAAAGGTGGTGTGCAGCCTGGGAAATCAACTGATAATTTGTTATGCAAAACACTATTCAGCTGTTGGGAGTGATTGTTGTACTCTCACCTTCAGAGGTTGTTTCTGTAGTCAGAAATGAGTTTGTCTTTGTAAATACCAGATGTATTTCTAAGTATTACCCTTTACAAGACTGGCTGTAATTCAATCCTATTTACTCATGACATGGCTGATATTTAAAGGTTATCAAATTCAGGCTTCCTACAATTCTGCACCTTTAATGATGCTGATGATGACCTTGGAGCTTTTGGCCAACTTGAATGCCTTCTGTCAGTGCAACCCTCGATGCAGAAGGTCGGGCAGGAGCTGCAGAGGAGCTGTCAACCCCTGTCACCTGCCTGAGCAGGGGATGGCACCTGGGCACGGCTGGGCACGGCTGGGCACGGCTGCTCCTCTGCACAGTTTGCTTTTGTTCTTTAACTGTGGGCGAGAGGCAGCCCCGCGCAGCCTGGCTGCCACTAGATGGGGGAATTTCACCAGAATTTTTCTTGAGCCTGTTTTTAAGTACCTCTCAAGGCCTTCATTTGATCAGTGCGATTTCATACAGATATTAATATATGCAAGGTTTACAGTATCTTTTAGCAATATCCAGTCTAGGAAAAAAACTCATAAAACTGAAGTTGCATAGCTTATCAAATTCCTATTTTAACAGGGAAATTTGCATTTTCATGGCTAAGTTTTTAATGCATCTTTCCTTTTCCAGTGCTCCATCTCCGGTGTAGTGGCCATATCTGAGCCATCTCTATCTGTACTCCATACTCAGAATATGGGTACACTTTTATTTATGTACTTCTGAAAACTTACTTTTTTTGGTTGCTGGAATCCCATGTTATATTTTATCCCTAAACAAAGAAAGAAAGTAAAGTAATTATTTAGAAATAAAAACATCCGTTTCTTCTTCTAGACCGATACAGCCAGTGTTGTTAAAGCAATGACAAATAGACCAATGGTGAATCATAATTAATGTGTAACAATAATCCTTGAAATGCCTCTTTATGTATAGATGTCATAAAAATTGTGAAATGGAGTGAAAGACTCTATGACTTTCACCCTTTTACAAATGGGGAAACTGAGATGAACAAAACTGGAACAAAAGTGATTGCTTAACTTCAGTTAAAAGGCCAGTAGCAGAACAAGAATCAGCTGAAGGTTGTGATTCAGGTTAGAGATCTAAAACAAAAACAAAAAAAAAGCTGTCCTGTGTGTATTTACCAAACCTGTATGGCTTGTACCCTGGAACCTTTGATAGGGCAGAATTGATCGTAATAACAGCTTGCATGAGTACTCTGCTGTAAAGGCAACATGCAGTGGAGTCATGTGTAAGTGAAGTAATATTTGCACACTTTTGGAGAGGCAAACAACACAGAATCATATTTTCTCTAATCTTCTGACTTCTGCAGTGATATTTACCTGAAAATAGAATAATAAAAAAGTGAAAATCCGAGATGGCAGCTTTAGCTGATGTGTAGAGTTTCTTTCATGACCATAACCTTTGTTAGGTATAACTTAATAATACAGAAATGGATAATGGAAACACTACTGAATTATGACATTTGTTTGGGGCTTTTCAACTGCTAGAACTGTTGTCATCACTGTCAGTGTTGCTTGAAGACTTCAGTTTAATAAGTCTGCATGATGAATCCACAGCCTTTTGGACAAGGACAATTACAGCTAAAGGTCTTGCACAGCATTTAGTGAAGGCTCAGTCAGCCCCATCAGGTTGATTTTCATAGCATCAGGAAAGCTCTCAGAAACACCTTGCATGATAGTTCACATTGTGACTTGCTGCAGTGAAGGTAGCAAGTCCAGCCTAGATGATCAGTCATGCTTTATTTTTGAAATCAGACCTACAAATTTTCGTAGTAGAGTCTAAATAAAATTGCTCTGATTATTTCTGTACTCCAAGAGCTCTTCTAAGAGGGTTCATGATGCTTTTGGCTTATGTTGGAGCTTTAACTGCACTTCTGCGATTTGTTAGCAATGAACTCAAGGTTGTGTGGGATATTGTGATTCTGTGCCTATTACAAGCATATTGTTTTTACTTCATCAGAAATTAGCTCTAGACACCTTACAGAAGGAGTCTTAATGCTTCTCCTAGCTGCTTCTCAAAAATGTTCAGCTGCAAATTAAAGTCAGAAGGTGCCTACTAAAGAGAAATAGAGCTTGTAGCATTTCTGTGTAGCATTCCTGTGTGTGTTCTGGAGACCTGAGGCTGATTGTGCTGTACCAGGCTTTAGGAGATGCTCCTGAGCTGTTCTCCAGTTCCTGATGCGATCAGCTAAAGAACCACTTTTATTCTACTCTTGTATAATGTGTTACAGAGCAAGGCACGGAAGGAACCTGCTGTCCAAAAACCCCAGCAAAACCTGAGCACCATCACCTTGAAACAACTGATAGTAAAGCATGCTGATCTGTTTATACCATGAAAATGTTGCATTTGTCAGTAAATGTAGCTGCTTCTTTTTTGCTAACCCTAAGGGCCTAATTTTAAGCTGTTTGAGCTGCTTGGCCTTTGCTCTAAGGCATCATTAATACAGCTACTTGGAGTAGTTACTTACAAGATGGGGATGTGTTCCCTTTCCAAAAGTATTTTGAGCTTTTTACAGTTGAAAACTTAAATAGGTGAGGAAAGACTTTTGATCACTTATCAAAAAACTGGGGAAGTACTTCAGATGGAATCATATGCAAATACTGAGCATTTGTTGGGTCCATTATAATGTAACTTCGGGTTAGTTTTCTTCAGTTGTGATCATTTGCTCTGACTTAAAGCAAGCGCTGGTACCTTGTAGCAAACCCACACACTTTGTGTAATTACCTCTTAAATTTGGTGCCACAACTAATAATTATTAATAAAACCCCACAAAAGTGCAAACAGCAGGTATGAGACCTAACTATTTTGTGGTTAATTATGATTGTGTTTTCAAAGTAGTATTTAATAAAGATAACTTATTTGAGAGATTAATATTTTGTAGTGATATGCTTTGCTTTGAAAAATGAATAATAAATGCTAGGAGGAGATGAGTAACCATTTAAAAAGATGGTTATTCATTTACTGGCTTTAATATGTAATCAGAACAATAATTCCTGCTTAATATAAATGTTTGGTGAAGCACTTGCCAATCTCTTTGATGTTTTCTGAATTTGTGACATCTAAATTTGGCTTCTTTTTGTTGTCTTTCTCATGATACAATCTGTCACTTTAGATTTAAATCTACATGATGAAAACCTCTTAAGTGCAGTGAAGTCAGGGAAGTTATATTGCACAAATCTATTACACTAATCAAAATCTAAATTTATTGTTATGTTTCACCTTTACTATCCATATTTTTTACCAGGTCTTTGACATTATTGCCAAAAAGGTAATATTTTTGGTCATAAATAAACCACTGGTGTCTGGTACATGCAGCTGCAGGCAGTGATCAATAACTCTTAGGTGCCAGATGCAATGAAGCCAACACCTCACTGTGCCCAAACACAGAGGGAATAGCAGACACAGACTCATTCTCTAATTACAGAGTGTTTATGTTGGTTTTCATGGCGCTCTTTTCTCTTCCACTTGTGGGACCATGATTTTGCAGGCTTGAGCCTGGCCTGTGTTCTATCCAGTCCTACCACACAGTGAAACCCACTGTCAGCTATTCTTTATTTTCTTTTCCAAATGCGACTAGCAACACAATAAAATGGCTTTCATCTTCCTTGTGTACTACTGTATAGTTTTATCATTCTGCCTTCTCCTCTGTCTCTGCTTCAAGACCTAATTTTGGTTTGCCTCTGGTGTTTTGCTCTGGTTTGAGACTCAACTACAGCTGAAGTATTTTTTAATAAAAATGATAACTTCAAGTCTGCATCTGCAACTCATCCCTTACAGGGCTTCTGTGCACAGAGTGCTCTTGTTTGCTTCATCCAAATAGATTTGTGAAATTTACTCTGCAATGGATCTTATGGCATTTCAGGAACATCTGTGTCAAGAGTCCTATCCAAATACGCCCCAGTCTTAGGGCTTTTCTCAGAGACAGCAATGTGTACTTAATTGCAGAATGATTAATAGAGTAGTTCTCAGAAATCTGATAAACATGAGAAAAATTTAGCTGGAAGATTGTCCCAAAAATACTGTCAGAAAATTAGGATTGTTTTTATTTTAATTTTTTTATTTTTTTATTTTTTTTTATAATTTAAACTTAACTCAGCTTGTAGGGTATAAAACACCTGGCCAAATCTGATCCTAACTTACTCTGGTGTACAGTTGTTTGCATCTTTGAATTAAATGACTCAGTAAAGAAATTTAGTTAAAGATTGCTACCATAATAAATTATTTGGTTTTACATCTATTAAAAATATAGATGTAGTATACACATCTGGAAAACTGTTGAAATATATAAACCTCTAAAATAAAAGCATTTTCTGCAAAAATTAAGGCCTAATTAGAACAGACTTTATATGTGTGCCTGTTTTAACTATGTGCTATAAATCCTTTTTCTAACATAAACATACAATTTGATTTGAAAAAATGTTTTCAAAGTTCCATCTAAGCTACACACAACATCTCATTTTAATACAGATGGAATTAATGAGGCCAAATAAAGAAGGCTTAGCAAAGCAGCAGCACATCTTAAATTGTACATCAGGAAAGAAGCCAGCCTGTGCAGTGAATTTAAGTAATCTTATCCCTCTGAGCCCCCAGCGAGGCTGCAAGTGCGTGGTGTCACTTCCCACACATGGCAATTCCTGCCTGGGGGTGCTGGGGGTAAAAGGTTCATGTCCAGCCCTTGGCAGACAGGTTTGGTGCTGATTTCCTTTGCACTGGGGGAAATGGTGGAATGTTTCTGGGGCAGTCTCCAAACCAGGCCTTGGGAGCTCTAAGTAGCTAATCTTGGCTCTTTGAGTAAAGTGCTTCTTTTCCCCCCTTATTTTTGGAAGATATAAGAAGTTCTGCAAGCTGGTGAGGTTTGGGGTTTTTTAGTCTCTTTGAGCTTTCTTTCATGTGTGAGTTCCTTTGTAACTCAGGTAACACATTTGTCCTGAATTCTGAGCTTTTTGTTTAAATCCTACCATTGTCAAGCATACAAGTTCTAATAGTTTCAATATTATTTGAGGAATCTTGGACTCTGACTGATGGCTTATTCTTAAGCAATTGTGGTGAAGTAGAACACTTCCCAAAAAGAGAGCCTCATTTCCCCCTCTCCTGTGCTAACACACCATTGCCTTCCATTGTTCTTGTGCTTTTTTCTGTCCAAGCCAGCTTCAGAGATGCAGACATTGGATCTGGGTGAAACTGTGGGTGTCATTTCCAAAGCAGGGAATCTGGGGTTCCTCCATCCCACAGGCAGCATGCAATGCACCCTTGTGCTGCTGCATCTGTGTCAGGGGGTGCTTGGGATGGCAGCAGCTTGTGTGCACTTCACTTGATTAAAACACGATTACTCTGGCTTTTTGTAACTGAAATGACTTTCCATCTTAATGAAGCAAGGGAGTCTCTGGACAGAAGTACTGTATGCAGGGAAAGCAATGCAATTCTGAAGGGCATAGCCTGGAAATAATTAAAAACATTCAGTTCATCCATCAGTTTGAACAAGAAAAAATTACAAATCAGGGAGCCAAAGCAGAGATCAGTACACACATTAAGTGACTTTTAATATTTGCCTCTTGAGGACTTTCATAGTGCCAAAGAAGTTGGTATTCCCAGTTGATTTATGCACCAGTAGCTGATCCCTGTGCTGAAACCAGCAAACCTGAACAGAGCTGTTCTGAAGCACAGTCCTGAGCCATGGTGTCACTGCTTCCCTCCTGATCCCGCATGAACTCCCTCCTACCCAAGGTGCTGTGTCCCTCCTTGGCCACCCTT